GCACCTTATCGAATCAATTCAAAAAATTTAGAGAATGTTCTAGGCAGCAATGGGCAGAGCTCTATTGCTTTTTGTGAAGATTGGAACACCAGAGAAGTCTGATTTCCATTGGTCTAAGTGAGAGAAAAATCAGATCCACAGAATGCACACTTGGTACTGCAGCCAGAGGAATCTCTCTAGTGCCTCCGGCTGCTGCCTACACATCTTACAAGAGAAGCTCAATATGCTGTGTTCTCATTGGGTGAACAGCTCAGTCTACATAAACCGTGAAGAATTTTCACTTTCAAAGAGCCAAAGATTCATAGATTATGAGGCCAGAAGGGACCATTGTGATCATCTAGTCTGACCTCCTATATGACAGGCCATGGGACTTCCTGAATTAATAACTGAACTTGAACATATCTGGTAGAAGAACATCCAATCTTGATTTAAAAATTGCCAGTGATGGAGAATCCACCACAACTCTTGGTAAATTATTCCAATGGTTAATTTACTCTCATTGTTAAAAGTTTGCACCTTATTTCTAGTTTGAATTTTTCCAGCTTCAACTTCCAGCCACTGGCTTGTATATATCTTTGCCTACTAGACTCTTACCAAATTTGTGTTCCCCATGTAGGTACTTAGGTATTTATAGACTGTGTTCAGGTCACCCCTTAAGCTTCTCTTTGTTAAGCTAAATAGATTGAGCTCCATGAGTCTCATGGCATGTTTTCCAGTCTTATAATCATTCTCATGGCTCTTCTCTTTACCTTCCTTGTATGTTTATAGCACTGGTGCCCTAATAGATTGAGGCCAAATGCTATTTAATGTTCTAGACCCTCTCTTTTACTTCTAGATAACTCATTGAACTTCATTCTAGAGTGACAGAGTGAAATCTTGGCTTTATTGAAGTCAATAGGTAATTTTGCCATGGACTTAAATGGAGCCAGGATTTCACCCAAACCGATCAGAAATTCTCTTTGCTGTCTTATTTGAAGTTAGTTGGTTGTTTTTTATTGAGGTCTCTGTCACAAACAAAATCACATCACAAGCATGTCTTGACTTTAACTGACCCCTTGTTGGGAGCCTTAGCAGAGAGGACACAGAGACTGAATTCACCAGTACATCTAGCTCTTCCAGCTCAGGACTGAGATACCTTGCCGGGCCCTGTGTGTGTGGAAAGCTTACACAACCACCACGAATGCTGGTGTGAGGGAAGCTTGCACAGCCATTGTTTGTGTTACATCTGTTCTGAGGGTAGGAGGGTTTTACGTTGTGAGGGGCACCCAATCTGAATCCTTTCAACCGCGTGAAATTCATTTTTAAAAAATACAGGAGCAACATTTTAGAAACGACAGCAGAATTTTAAGAGGCCACAGATTGATTCTCTGTGTGGAAAGATTGTTCCTTTTTCTGGGAAAAGAAACCGTATAATATTTTGTACAAGATCAACTTTGAAGGGAGATGCAGTTACACTATAAAGTTAAGTAGGAACGAAGCTGACTTTATGGTGTCACTGTAGGGCTGAAAATTGAAAGCACATCTTTGGGAACATACTGTGAAGCAAACAACCAACATTAATGAAATATGTTACCAGGGATATGTAGATACAGTATGGCAGTTCGGCAGTCACAGTGGGAAAGTAGCTAGTAGTGCCAATGCAAAATGTCTTTTGCTAGAGTGAAAGGCAAACAAGGTTGCTGCTGCAGAACACTAGAAATTGGAGAAGATTCTATGGCTACACTGTGCATTTCAAAGTGATTTAAAACCAACACCACTAAAAATTCCAATTTCTGACCTCTAAACATAAAATGAAAGTGATTCAATTTCAGATGCATTACTCAGCATATCATTATTATGAATAGAGCATTTATTATAACCCATGCAATGTCACTCCTATGTGGCTTGCAATATAATAATTAATGTTCTGTTTGTGCTTCACACTTAAACAGCTGATTTAGGGATTTGACATATAGCAGTTAAAATATTTCTTTTTAAACCCACCAGTTTGTCTTTTTGAAATGACCATCTAACTATCCATGGCAATAAATGGCTCAGACACTTTTGCGAACTTCTGAAACTACAATAATTTTGCTGCCCAAAAGGGGCCTTTGCCAATGATTGATTGATTTGTCTGGGGAACGATAAGTTTAATTATTTTTGTGCTTTGTTCAAAAAGTGAATATTAACCAAAGAAAAAGTCCCTTATCATGGTGGCAGCCTTGTTACATTTCAGTCTCCAACAGACTTGCTTTGAGTAGAATGTTTTAGATGACTGGCCAAAGGGGGCTGCCAGCCTTGGAAAATGCAGTACAAATTGGAACATCAAGATTTTATATAGTACGGAGAACATGTTAACAGAGAGATTGCTGCATGGACACCTCACCATCCACAATGGCTTGTCCCGACCTAACCTCTCATTTTACCATTGTCTGGTCTGGCCTGGGCTCCCCTCTGTGATCACTTAACATGCCTGTGGGTAATGCAGTGATTGCCTTCATTGGGAAATGACTTATGTGTTCATAATTGTTTTTAGTGTAATCATTGTTTTGTCCTTCTTTTTCAAAAAAGTGTATCACACTCTCTCTCCCTTTTGCTCTTCATTTCATCTCCCCTCCCATGTGTTCTGTTTTCCTCTCTCCCCTGCCCCGCCCCCCACCCCATATGCTTCTCTGTTGCCTCGTCTCACCCACTCCTCTGCACATGCTGCTCTGCTGACTGGTTCCTTTCTCCCTTGAACATATTTCCAGGCTGCATGGTTCTCCTCTCCCTGTCACATGATGCTTCTTTCTCTTCTCCCTCTGCCCTGAACATGTTGCCTATTTCCCTTTCCCCCTGCACTCTGGAACATTCCTTTCCTGCTGGCTCCTCTTCTTCAGAGGCTCTGGTCCCTGTTTCCTCTCCTCCTCCTATGTAGAGCAGCCCTTAGGGGAAGCATTTATGTTGGCTCCTTTTCCTCCTTTTCATTTGCTTTACAGGCTTACAGAACCAAAGCAGCTGGAGGCTCCAGCACCATGTTACCTGCCAATCCTCTGTAGACCACAGTCTGAAAACTGCTGGGCTGTAATACCTTACCATTTCCCAGAAGGGACCATACCAACCTCTTAGTCTTAGGGAACAAACTTTCGGGAAGGCCTTCACTATTTTGGGGTGGGGTGGGTTAAACCCATCAGTTTCCAGTCACATGCCCTAGGTACTTTTTCCTTCGCAAATGTACTGCTGTGAGCTTAGCCTCCTTCAGGGGCCTGGCCTTCCAGAGGTTTCTGTACAACTTCACTTGGCTGTGGCTGCCAATTGGTGTGAAAAGCAGCCACATTGTCCAGGTATACAGCTACATCTTGCTGATGGTGACAGAGGATATGGTCCCTCAGTCATTGAAAGGTGGCTGGAGCTCCATGTCACCCCGGAGGCATGCTGACAAACTGGAATAGCCCAAGGAGAATGACAAAAGCTACTTTCCCCAGAGAATCAGGTGTTAGTGCAATCTACCGGTGACCCTTTCTTAAATGTAGGGTGGTGAGATATCTTTATTACAGCTTTTCCTAACCAGATGAGGACCTCATCTTGTTGGGCTATTGGATACATATTGAATTAGGAGACTGAGTTTTCTCTCCACAAATCGACAGAGAATCGAGTGCTCCCATGCAGCTTAGGAACCAGGACTACTGAGCTTCACTTGATGCTACTTGATTCTTCCCTCTGTTGCGGTCCAAATACAAGACAGCACAAAGCTTTAAGCAAGCAAGCAGGCTGGTCTGCCAACGGGCTGCTCATCAGCTTTCCACCCTCTCCTTTATTCTTTCTCTCCCCTCGCGCATTACATTCTCCAACAGATAAAAGGAATACACTGGCTTTGTTTAACATTCTTATTTACCAATTTCTATCTACCGCATTCCTTGCACTTGGGCCTTGAGCCCAGTCCTGGGAGGCTTCCCACGGTTCATGTCATCTGGGCGAGATTCCAAGGTTCATGCCCTTGAGAGGAGCCGTGTGTGCACTGCTCCTACACAACACTCCGGGTGTGCCCTGAATGTTGCCAAGTGCATGAACCTTGCATGAATGCTACATCCCTCCCTCCTAGTTTCAACATTTCCTGAACCTTTAGTACCATCTCCTGCATTTCCTCAGGGATCCTATAGGACTTTATTTTCTGGTTATTCCCAAGGCTGAGATTGCATCGAATGGACTAATAAGGCTAGAGAACACAGCCATACATGCCTCCATCACTTTGCAGACCTGCGATTAAAGCTGAGTGAAAACTGGAATTTCTGTCCCGCAGGAAATTCTGGTATTTCAACATTTGTTTTTGTTCCAACTTAGGATGAAAAGTTGAAATATTGCAATTTTTGGCTGAGCAAAATGTTCCAAAAAATTTCAACTCAGAAATGGTGAAATATTTTATATTGGCACTTTTGGAGGTCCCAACAGACTCCGGGCAAGATTCTCATTTGGCCATCAGACCCTTTGCATTGCCCAGCCCCAAAGCAGCTTGTGATAGGGTGCTCAGAGGGCCAGACAGCATAGCAACTAGCACACCTGATGTCCTGGTCCCTTGCTTCCCTGACCAGGCCTTCTCTGACCTTAGACTGAAATCTTCTCTCCTCCACTCACATCTGGGCCTCATTCCTTAAGAGGGAGACCCAGCCCTCCCTCTTTACTGGGTCCCAGCCCAGGACCCTGTGTGAAGCAACACTGGGAATGTCCCCCTGGCAAAGAGTCAAAGTCCACTGCCCTGGGCTACTTCCTACCTATATCTCTTCAATTTGGGACATGGCCCCTATAGTCCAAATTGTCTGTAATGGCTCACCTGGAGTAGCACCCCCTTGTGGACCTTTTGCAGCATTCTGTCACAGCCTCAGGTCCCTCTGGGTGGGGATGGAGGGGGACTAGCTCCATGACATCCTTATAGTCAAATAGTAAAAGTTCACACACTGCTGGGTGCTCCCTAGTCTCCTCAACAGTCTCTCTGTCAGGGATGCAGTGCTTCTCCACGGTCAGCTAGCCCAGCAGTCTAGCTCATAGTGAAGTTCCCCTCATCTAGAGAGAGGCAGAGCTATCTCCTGCAGAAGGGTGCTGAATCAGCTCCATAACCATTTGTCCTCATCCCAGAGATCAGACCCACTTCACTTAAGGTTGAGCCTTTGATCTTAGGTTCCCACATTCGTTTAATTAGATACGTTGTGAAAATAGTGCACTGTTCTATGAAGTTCTGAGTGGACTTATTTCTCAGTTTTCAGACATGGTTTTTATAGTTGTGTGGCAGCTGTAGATAGAAAAGGTATTTTTGGGAATCTGGAAGTAGTGATGGCTCTAGTAGGATCCCAGGACTGAAGACCACTTTGACAATGGTTGGGCAGATATCCCCAGTTGATGGCTTATAGATTTCGTCAGACCACATCCTGTTTCAGACAGTGTTGCCTCGATCTTGTCTAGTTCGAGCTACAGCCACCTGGCTTTCATCCAGATCTTAGTCTCTGCCAACCATTAGATGAGCCTTGCCAAGAGCTATGTCTGGATTCAATGTAAAAGAGCCATAGAACAGATTATTTTTGGCTTACAGCTCGTACTGCAGCTTATATGGTCTCACTGTCTCCCAGCAACTTCACTTCGATACTGAACAGGGTTGAGGCCTGAAGGAGCCCACAGCTGAGACCCCCTCAGAGGGAGATCCCCTCGTGCAGCAGTATTTGCTTGTGATAATTTTGAAAAAAAGTGATGAGAATCCCTAGCTGGTCTTACAGTCTTGTCAACATTTCATGATGAATAGGATTGAAGGTCACTGAAAGATCAAGCAGTTGTCAGCAAGGACATCTGGCCTCTGCCCATTGCTCAGAGCGGAGTGTCAGTCCCTATGATCAGTGTCTTTTCTGTGCTATGGTCCAGCCTGAAGCCCAGCTGCATGGGTTCCAAGACGCCTGAGCTTATCAGATCTTGTTGGAGTTGGCCTGTCACTACCTGCTGCATTATCATTTGAGGAAAGGGAAAGTTAGGGGGTAGGTAGTACTTGGCCAGGATATTAGTGATCAGTATTGGTTTCCTCTGCAGAGGCCTGACTATAACTTGTTTAAGGGCTTTTGGCAGTTTGTTCTCTGATTAATAAAAAAGGGCCCATACGTTACCAGCAAAGACAGACATGGATCCAAGTTGCTTGAAGCCAGGTGGACAACTTGCTGCACAGCTAGAATGTCAGCTGGGACACTGGGTAAAACTCAGCCACTGGGGGATGATAGCGCAGCTGTATCCTTCTGCTCTGACTCGTCAATCTTGGCTCGAGAGAGAGTTCTCTGAATCCAGGCAACATCCTCTAAAAAGAAGATCAGAAACAAGAAAATGGACACGATTGGAGCCAGTTGAGGGCACCCTGTGATGATAGTAATAACAACAATATATAATTAGAGCTGGTCAAAACAGTTTTTGACCAAAAAATGCCTTTTTAAAAAAATGAAAAATTTCATTTTTTAGGAATGTTCTGTTTTTTCAAGAAAAAAAGTTTGGTTTGGGTCTCCCCCCCCACCCCACCCCCGGCCGCCTTTTTCCTCCTCTTTTTCCATTTAGTCCCTGAGAATAGTGGGATGAATAGAAAAGGAGGCGAAAGAGAGAGATGGGGAAAACAAAACCTCAACATGTTTCAGTTTGCATAAATGTGTTTTAAAACTGAAAACTTTTCAAGAAAAAAGTTATAGACTCAGACTTTAAGAACCATCATGATCATATGGCTTGACCCCCTGCACATCACAGGCCACAGAACCTCACCCACCCCCTTCTGTAACAGACCCATAACCTCTGGCTGAGTTACAGAAGTCCTCAGATCATGATTTAAAGACTTCAAATTACAGACAATTGACCATTAACGCTCGTTTGAACCTGCAGGTGAGCTGTGCCCAATGCTGCAGAGCCCTCCCCATTTAGTGTTCCATTGCCAGCTGTTGGAGGTATTTGCTGCTAGCAGTCACAGATCAGCCACATGCCATTGTAGGCAGTCTCATCATACCGTCTGCTCCATAAACTTATCAAGCTCCATCTTGGAGCCAGTTAGGTTTTTTGCCCCCACTGCTCCCTTTGGAAGTCTGTTCCAGAACTTCACTCCCCTGATGGTCAGAAACCTTCATCTCATTTCAAGCCTAAACTTATTGATGGCCAGTTTATATCCATGTGTTCTTGTATCAACATTGGCGCTTAACTCAAATAACTCCACTCCCTTCCTGGTATTTATCCCTCTGATGTGTATTTATAGAGAGCAATCAAATCTCCCCTCAGCCTTAGCTTGGTTAGGCTAAACAAGCCAAACTCTTTGAGTCTCCTCTCATAAGGTAGGTTTGTCATTCCTCTGATCATCCTAGTAGCCCTTCTCTGCACCTGTTCCAGCTTTAATTCATCTTTCTTAAACATGGGAGACTAGAATTACACACAGTATTCCAGATGAGGTCTCACCAGTGCCTTGTATAATGGTATTAACACTTCCCTGTCTCTACTAGAAATACCTTGTCTGATACATCCTAGGACTGCATTAGCCTTTTTTTTCATGGATGCAACACATTGGTGGCTCATAGTGATCCTGTGATCAACCAATGCATCCAGGTCTTTCTCCTCTGCTGTCACTTCCAACTGATAAGTGTCCAGCTTATAGCAAAAATTCTTGTTGTTAGTCCCTAAGTGCATGACCTTGCACTTTCCACTATTATATTTCTTCCCATTTGTATTACTCCAGTTTTCAAGGTTGTCCAGATCTTCTTCTGTGATATTCCAGTCCTCTATATTGGCAATGCCTCCCAACTTTCGGTCATCCACAAATTTCATTAGCACACTCCCGCGTTTTGTGCCAAAGTCATTAATAAAAATGTTAAATAAGATTGGTCCCAAGACTGATCCCTGGGGAACTCCATTAGTAACCTCTCTCCAGCCTGACAGTTCACCTTTCAGTATGTCCCTTTATAGTCTCCCCTTTAACCAGTTCCTTATGCACCTTGCAATTTTCATATTAATCCCTATCTTCTCCAATATAACTAACAATTTCCCATGCAGAACTATCAAATGCCTTACTGAAATCCAGATAGATTACATCTATTGTGTTTCCTTTGTCTACAAAATCAGTTATTTTCTCAAAGAAGGAGATCAGGTTGGTCTGGCACAATCTACCTTTTGTAAAACCGTGTTGTATTTTATCCCAATTACCATTTACCTCTATGTCCTTAACTACTTTCTCTTTCAAAATTTGTTCCAAGACCTTACATAGAATTAGGTCAAACTAACAGGCCTGTAATTTCCTAAGTCATTTCCCCCCCCTTTCTTAAAAATAGGAACTATATTACCAATTCTCCAGTCATAGGATATGACCTCTGAGTTTACAGATTCTTTACAAATCCTTTCTATTGGTCTTAGAATTTCATGTGCCAGTTCCTTTAATATTCTTGGATTAAGTTTATCTGGGCCTTCCCCCCAATTTAGTCCCATTAAGCTGTTTGAGTTTGACTTCCTCCTTGGATGTGGTCATTTCTTCCACTATATCCTCATTACCATTAGCCACCCTGCTACTACCTCTAAGCTCTTCATTAGCCTCATTAAAAACTGAGGCAAAGTATTTGTTTAGGTGTTGGGCCATGCCTACATTATCTTTAATTTTCACCCATCCTCAGTGCTTAACAGTCCCACTTCCACGCTCCTTATTTACTTTTTATTTATATGGCTGTAGAACCTTTTACTGTTGATTTTAATTTCCTTTGCAAGGTCCAACTCTGCTTGCCTTTTGGCAGTTCTCACTTTATCTCTACACTTTCTGACCTCCAAGAGGAGGCTTTCCTTCCTGATCCATGCCCTCTTCCATGCCTTGCAGGCTTTCTGCTTTCTCTGAATCACCTATTTGAGATGCTTGCTCATCCAGCTTGGTCTGCATGAATTTTTCCATATGAAATTTCCCCCCCTCCCTTGCTTGGGATGCAGGCTTCAGATAATTTCTGCAACTTTGATTTAAAGTAATTCCAGGCCTCCTCCACGTTCAGATCCTTGAACTGTTCAGTCCAGTCTACTTACCTAACTCATTTTTGCATGCTCTATCCCGCAGTGGAGTGTAGAATGATGCTGCAGTCCTCATTTTCTTGGGTTTGGAACATCATTTAGGGCAAGGTTCTGAGAAATTTAACAGGGATGAAGTCAGTAGAGTTCTAATGGAATTAAATAGGGATTAATAAAAATTTCTCAAATAGCTAGTAGAATTGGAGAATGGGGTTCTTTCAAAGAATGTTCAAAATATCCTATGGAATGCAATAGAGAATCGACGCCCCTGCTACAGGAGTCTGTCAGTGTGTTCAAACATTCTGCAGCAAGATTATTGTTCCTTCTTAAATTCTGGAAGGGATTTTCCAAAAGGGAATCTCCATTGTAAGCTGCAACATGCACAGCTGAACAGAGAGAGAGGATGCTGACCAGTGTAACCAACCTCAGCTTCAGAGCCTTCAGATTTCACCTGCCCTGCAGGGAGAATTCTACCAAATTCCTGGCAGAAGACCCCTTGTTTGTTTTGAACTTTATTTCACTTTTAATAATTCCCATTATCTTTTTGAATTTCCACTGGTGGTTGCCTGATAGCTCCATACGTTTGCGGAAAGTTGATGTGTATGCAGATCCAATTTGTCAGAAAAAGAGAGAAAAAGCAGATGTTTAAGATGCCCATTAAAGACTTGCCAGTGCCTTTGGTAAACTTTCAAAAACCTTCTATTTCAAGACATTTCTGCTTATATAAGCAGACCCTTTCTGTTTCTTTATTTCCTCTGGTGTTTTTTTTAGCACTATGAGCATTTGCTGGGAATCACAATATTTTTTGTTTGGAAGTTCTGAGTTGCAACCTATAGCTGTAAATCTCGGCTGATTGTCTTATAATCTTTTCCACAGAAACAAGCCCTGATGGCTGGCTCAGGGAATTGGTAAAGTACTATGCAGCTTTTTACCTCTTATATCACCTGTGTGAATCCAATTCAGATCAGTCATAACTATAGCACATAGGATACTGCAAAAAATAATGTGTTTTCAAGCGTTCTTCAGCATTCTAAATATCTGTTTAGTTTGATCACGTTTGTGTCTTTTAATTATGGCTTTTTGTCCAGGGGAATGGGAAATAGCTAATCTTCACACAAATACTCATATATTCACCTAAATAGTTGTTGATCAAGAGTATTTATCAGTAGTCAGTATAGAAGGATTCTTAATTTATCATTCATTAATAGAAAGAGTCTTCATTAGTCACTATTCCATATTGGTTATTTATTATTCTTTTTGCTCAAAAAAGTTTCAGTGATTTAATCAGAGAGCAGAAACAACACCATGCACTTTTCGTGACGTACGACTGGTCTCGGAATAGTGAACACCTCACAGCCTGAAAAGTTCACACATGAGGAATTTGGCAGAGTCCATGAACAAGGGACAAAAGGCCTATGTTGTTTAGAAGATATATTTTGCACATAAAATGTGACCAGCTGTAGTTGTAAATTAAAGCTCCAGCCATCCATTGGCTGTTGGGTGGCATTTGTGTGAACGGAGTAGGTGGCCCTCAGTCCAGTGCTTAGTGTGACGGGTGTGCATGTCCCAAATAGTAAACCAAAGTACAGCATTGGATATTTTAATGCTGCCTGTAATTAAATTGTATTGTAAATGTACATTAGGGTAGCTAGAACCTTGGATGGGTGTCTTTTTGTTATTTTTACATAAAAAAAAATACAGTTGCTCTCTTTCTGGCAGGTTCAGCAGGAAGGCCGACGACCGAATGGGCTACGGAGACTGAATTCCCCTTGAGGAGGTTTGTGCTAGGCAGGGGAGAGGTACATTGGAGGGGCTGTTGGGTGGGGAAGCTTTCCCTGATGCTGTTGGCGCAGGACTTCAGAATCTAGGGGTATCAATCTGCCACTTTTTGCTATGTATAGTATTTAATAATGGTGGGTGGGGGAGGACAGACAGTGTCGGGGAGGGGGAACTGGTGATGTCACAAAGGATTGTGACGTCAGGTGGAAAATAAGCAGCAGTAGCTCAGAGAGAGGAACTTTATTCAGAGTCCCATGCTGCCTTATGTGTACCAGCTCCCCTACATGAACTCTCTGGGGTTCAGGCTCTGAAACTAGAGGGGGCTGGGTGGGCAAACCAGCAAGGACCTCCATATTCCTAAGCCCAGGAACTATGCTTTCAGACAGAGGACCCTGAGCCCTACTTCCACCCACAAAGGAGGGGCGGGAATTCCACAGTGCAAAGAGCAAAGCAGCACAAGTTAGTGCAGCTCCAGATTATATTAACTTGCACCCACTTCTTCCGTGAATTTCAGAGAAGAGGAGAAATAAAGAGGAGCCTGGCTGTGTCTCCTTCACAGCTGCTTCCAGGTTCATGAACCCTGAACCCTACGGAGATCCTCCAAGGTCTGCAGGTTAAGGAAGCAAAGTGCAAAATGGAAGGGTGAGTAGAAAATGCATTTAGACTGTGAACTTCTCTGGGCAGGGAACTTGTTTTTAATATATCTGCCAAGTGTGCAGCCTCCCCTATAGTGCTAATAAACAGCAGTAATCCTGAAGCAAGGATCTTGTTGCCATGCAAACACTCTGCACGGTGAGAAAGAGCAAATTGGAAACAAGATCTGTGATGCACTGGCAGAGCTGTTCCTAAAGAGACTTCCTTTCAGTTTCCCAAATGATATCAGCTTTCAAGACTTCAAGCCATGCAAAGAGAGACCCCACTTAATTCCCCCATGCTTTGAACACTGTGAGTCAGGCTAGTGCAGGGGTGGGCAAACTATGGCCCAGGGGCACATCTGGCCCTTCAGGTGTTTTAATCCAGCCCTTGAGCTCCTGCCGGGGAGCGGGGTCGGGGGCTTGTCCCACTCTGTGCATGCTGTGGCACCATGGGGCTCCTGGAAGCACCAGAGTGTCCCCCCTCCATCTCCTACACGTAGGGCAGCAAGGGGGCTCTGCACGCTGCCCCCACTCCAAGTGCCGCCTCCGCAGCTCCCATTGGCCGGCAGCCACGACCAATGGGAGCTGCAGGGGCGGCATCTACAGACAGGGCAGCGTGCAGAGCTCCCTGGCCACGCCTCCATGTAGGAGCCAGAGAGGGGACATGCTGCTGCTTCAGGGTGCTGCTTGAGGTAAGCGCCGCCTGGAGCCTGCATCCCTGACCCCTTCCAGCACTCCGGCCCTGATCCCCCTCCCACCCTCCGAACCCTCAGTCCCACCCTCCTGCACCCCAGGCCCCGCACCACCATCTGGAGCCCTCACCCCCCGCATCCGCACCCCTGCCCCAGCCTGGACCCCCTCCCACATGCTGAACTCCTCATTTCTGGACCCACCCCCGAGCCTGCACCCCAACTCCCAATTTTGTGAGCATTCATGGCCTGTCGTACAATTTCCATCCCCAGATATGGCCCTCGGGCCAAAAAGTTTGCGCACTCCTGGGCTAGTGTCTGTGGTGGTGGTGATTTGCCAAGATTTACACAGCAGAGTTCACATGAACAAATAGTGGATTTGGTTGTGTAGCTCCTGCAATCCACTCTGAAAACGCTCCCTGAACAGGACTGTGAAAATAGCCATCTCAAGACAACTTTTTTTGCCGGGATGTTGCCATTGTGTCATAGAGCCAAATGTTCTTCCCCACTTGTGTGTGCATAGGGGACACTAAGCCAATGGATCTGGGTTGGGGCAGGGAGAGTCGCCTCTAAGGCATGCAGCTCCTTCATTCTAATCCCATAGAAGTCCCACTGTGGGGTCTCTGTGGTGTTCCAGCTCTGCAGGTGGGATGCGTCAGGGCAAAGCGTCACAAGAGAGACTCTATATTAACTTCTGTGGCATCCCCCTCCATGTCCGTGACCCCTTCCCCCTAATGAGGGACTTTTGGGTGCTGCCAATGGGACTATGCCTTCAAGGAACATGGGAAGGTAAGTGGTAGTGCAGGGGAAAGAGACCCATGTGGAAGTGTTCGCCTCTGGCAGAAGCTCCAAGATCCACTCAAATGTAGGGGTATTCTCAGTATTAACCCCGTGCCACTTCTGCAGGGGAGCAAACCCTGCCCTCTGATGGAAGAATGAGAAATGCTATAAGTTAAACCTTGTATAGACTGCAGTCCTCTATGTGGTTCATTCCCATGTAGGGAAACATCTATCTATCTATCTATTATGCTCATCACCACAGTATGGAGCATGGGACCCTTAAATAGCCTTTCACTGCTATTGAAATTAAAACAGTACCTTGATTTGGTGGACTCCCCAACAGCTCCAGGTATCAGTAAATGTTCTGTTGCCTTGCTACAGTCCTGAGCAGGTTTCTTTGTTTTTCCCAGAGACGTTGCCTTTCATCCAGAACATCAGATTTTGTATAATGCAAATGGTAGCTAATTTAGTGCACGTCCTAAGTCTGAACAGAGATATTGCAGCTCTTAGATTTGTGGGCATGTCTGTTAGCAACCAAGCCTTGCATTATAGAACCTATTTCCCAGGGCTTTACAACAAGCCTTTTAGACTGCATAGTAAGAAGCTTTTAGCAGCCAGAGTGAAGGATTAATAAGGCATGTGCAAAAAGCATCCCGGTGAAGAGGTTCACTGCTAGAGTGGCGAGCTCAAGGGGTTTATTAGATAAGCTGGAACTGTGATGTCTTTTGTTTTCTGTATATTGTACCTGTATACTTCTAAGAACTCCTCCTCTATGTCAAGATACCAGCTATTTTGTTCTCCCTGTTACTGCAGCCTGGTACAGTGGAGACACACACACTGTGCTCTTTCACAGGAACTTGTTCTTTCTTGTTGTTGTCATTTATTTTAATTACAAGTCATTCACGACTGGGTGCATATAGTTGTTTTACTGTATGGAAGCATGGGAGTTGGCATGGTTGAAGCCCCATCTTGCTGTCAGGTGCTACAGAATGCCAGTGCAGACTAGTGTCCCCAAGCATTAATGAAGCTCGTCATGATATTTACACAGTGGAGTTGCTATGTGTCACATTGGGGTGTTCGACTTGGCCACTGAGGAAAAGAGCCAAAGTATATGGAGCTGATGTTACTGCTGCTCCAGGCCTCAGCAATTTGTGTCTCTGCAGCTTTTACACCTTTCTGGCAGTGCTGTCTGAGATACAGCCAGGGTTCAGAAGGTGCACAGATGGCCTAAGGGTTGTAGGAAATGGCTTCATGGTTTCCACAGACCATCAGCCTCCAGAAAGCCCTGGCGACTCCACAGCCTCACTGGCCCTGCCACAAAAAGAAGCATTTGGCAGATTTCCTCACACCTGAAAGCAGCAGGCCTTGGCTGCTGTATCCTCCCCTTCTGCCCTTTTATCTGCATGAGAGAGAAGGTACGGACCACACTGGTTCATATGCTCTGCCTCATGACACACAGTGATGGAGCAGGAACCAGTGAGCTGAAGTAAGTCCAGAGCATGTGACCTACAGCCATAGGAAGGCAAAAAGAGTGTGATGTTATTAATGAAGTGCATGTCCCTATTACTCTGGGACAAAAACGATAACACTGATACTGGCAATTTTAGAGTGTCCACATTTGCAGATGACTGTTCCAAGTGAGAAGTCCATCTACTTTTCTACCATCTGACTAGTCCTCACCATTTTATGTATGGGCTTGTCTACACTTGACACACTACACCAGCACAGCTGCAGTGCTGTACTGTACAGGGAAGCCATTTAGGGAAGGTGGGGGGCACCTGCCCCCCCCTCAAGTTTCGTAACACATTTGTGTGAAGTTTGCAGCAGGAGGGAATATGCTGCCCCTCCTCTCCCCACTGCCATCTGCAGCCGAGCTGCTCTGCTCCCTTAGCCATGGGGCCACCACTGGCCATGCTGCTCAGGACCAGAAGCCTAACTCCTGATCTGCTGTGCTGGGGTGTCCTTCTGCCCCCATCAGTGTACCTGGTCTCTGCTGAGCTGGGGTGGGAGGATGGGGAGCCTGTCTGTGCGGCTGCCTCTGGGTCAGGAGTGGGAGCTGCAGCTGCACCAAACAAGCATTCAGGCTCCTGAGTGCATGGCTTAAAGAGATAGCTCAGGCACATACCTGCAGTCTCCCACACACATTTCCCCCCCCACCCCACAGTCTCCCTCACACTTCCCCCCCCAACGCACACACAGAGTCTCCCTTACACACTCACTCAACTAATTAAACTACTTCTTGGTGCTTCCTGTTGAAATGCGCAATGCACATATATCCTCTGTAATTTTATTCTTTCAAAGTGCTGTTATTTTAGTTTTTTGACTAGTCTATGCATTTCATAATTTTATTTCTCTCTTATGCTTAAATTTAATTCTTTGAGTAGTGAGTTCTAAAATGCCTAACCTGTCCTGGCTGGAGTAATTATCATTATTACTTTTATTACCATATTGTGCTTTGTCATTTATTATTTAAAGTGGTACAATCAAATAATAATATCCTTCTAGAATGTAAATTTAGATTGTACTCACCTTAGCAGTGCCAGTTTAAAAAAGTTAGCTAAACACATAACTTTAGACACTGTGCAGATGAAGGTCACTTATTTGCAAATTGTATTTTTAATTATATCTGTAAAATAACTTAAAATTCGTACAAAAATAAATGCGGTTCCAAGTCTAATAGTAATGATGGAGTCAAATGTTAGCAAGTCCTATGCATGATTGTGATCGGTAAACACGAATGTCAAAATAATTAGAAAAATTAATTCCCATTCTTAATAAAAGAGAAAAAACCTTAATCGCATATGTTAAAATTAAATAAATATGTTTTTGGTGGTGTGAAAAACAATTGACTAAAATAGAGTAGATAATAGCAGTAACAGAGCGTGCCTGTTAGAGAAAGTAAGCAGATTTTATTTATTGCTACTAAAGATAGTGTACAAAGTATCAAACTTGTGTTTCGATATCTGTGTTAAGGCTCCAAAACTGATATGTCAAGGTTTGGGATTGGGAATATTTTGCAGTATTATCTCCTGATTGTTCTAAATTTACATATAAACTTAAAATATGGCTTTAGTTGGTGTTTGTATATACAAAAAGAAAAGGAGTACTTGTGGCACCTTAGAGACTAACCAATTTATTTGAGCATAAGCTTTCGTGAGCTACAGCTCACTTCATCGGATGCATACTGTGGAAACTGCAGAAGACATTATATACACAAAGACCATGAAACAATACCTCCTCCCACCCCACTCTCCTGCTGGTAATAGCTTATCTAAAGTGATCACTCTCCTTACAATGTGTAAGGAGTGAGTGGCTTCTGCCTGCTCACTCCATGTGTCTGCCGACCCTTCCCTGCAGCCCCAGGGCGGGGCGGGGCTGTACCTGCGTGCGTTGCCCCTGAGGCCAATGGGAAGCTACGGGGGCAGTGCCTGCGGGCAGCAGCACGCAGAGGCCCCCGGCCTCCCCCGCCCTGCCTTAGAGACCCAGGTAAGCACCGCACTCTCAACCCCCTCCCAGAGCCTGCACCCCCACCCCCTTCCCACACACCCTCTCCCACCCCCAAACTCCCTCCCAGAGCCTGCACCTCCTCCTCACACACACACCCAGCCCCCAAACTCCCTCCCAGAGCCTGCACCCCCTCCCCCTCCTCCTGTACCCCCACCGCCTGCCCCAGCCCAGAGCCTGCACCAAACACCTAAACTCCATCCCACAGCCTGCACCCCAGACTCCCTCACCCACCCAAACTCCCTCCCAGAGCCCAACCTCTCACCCCTTCTGCACCCAAACTCCGCCCCAGAGCCTGCACCCCAATCCCCTACCCCAGACCTTTTCCCCCACCCAAACTCCCTCCCAGAGCCTTAGGCAGGTGAGAGGACCGAGTTTTAGGGGGAAGGTTATGGGCAGCATGAGTGACATTATTGGCCCACTGGGAGGCTTTGAGGACTGGCACTGGCCCTAAGGTAAATTGAGTTTGAGACCCCTGCCTTAGATAATTCCATCAACCTAGCACTGTCTACTTGCGGGTTAGGCCAGCTTAACTATGTCATTTAAGATGTGGATTTTTCACCCCACGTGATATAGCTATGCCAATGTAAATTCCCAGTGTAGACAAGCCCTATGTGAGATGAGTAGACAAATGATCCTCTCTAACATTTAAAAACCCCTTTAACTTGGTGCTGGTCTACACTGAAAACTTACATTGGCATAGCTACATCTCTGAGGGATGTGAAAAATCTACCCCTCTGAGAGATGTTGTTATACCAATCTAACCCGGGTGTAGACAATGCTAGGTCGACGGAAGAATTCTTCCATCTCCCGCCTCTCAGGGATGTGGATTAACTATGGTGATGGGAAAACCCCTCCCTTCAGCATAGGTAGTGTCTACACTGAAGTTCTACAGCAGTGCAGTTGCACTACTGTAGTGTGTTTCAGTGTAGACATAACCTTGCTTTTGGCCATTGTTAAAGTAATGGGAAGTATGGGAAGTACAGCTCCCCCTCCTCTGCTAATAGCAGAGGAATTGCTCCCCATCCTGTCCCTGACTTTAGCTTGGTTTATACTAAAAAGTAAGGTTGACCCAGCTGTGTTGCTTGTGTGTGAAAAATCCATACCCTGAGCAACATAGCTAAGACAACCTAACTCCCAGTGTAGACAGTTCTACGTTAATGGAAGAATTTTTCCATTGACCTAGCTACCATCTCTCTCAGGAAGGTGGATTAACGACAACAATGGGAAAACTCCTCCCATCGCTGTACACTGATGTTACCCACACAAAATTCTCAATTACTCACACTCTAGGGCACCCACCTTTACCCAGTTCCTGTGGCTCAAGGCATAACCCTCTTAATTTAGACACCCCCACTCTTTCCCTGGTCCTAGGGATCCAGGCAAAAGGCACCTAACTTTACTCCTCCGTGGGCTCCAGGCTCTACTCCTCCATGGGCTCCGGGCAAGCACCCTTTCCCTGTGGGCTTAGAACTTAAGCTTTTGCAGGTTTACAGGGTCTTTTACCAGTAAAAGAGCCTTATACAGTAATATCCTTATCCTCTATTTATTAACAATCACCAAAAACAGAATGCACATACTACACAAACAGTGCTCACCACTCCCAATAAGACAGATGAACTTTTCTTGATGGCTAGTCAGAATCAGGTCCATCTGGGGACTCCAGTTTCTGCACAGTGTCATAGGTAGAGTACTAGGGTCTGCCAGAGCCATTCTTGGGGCTGTGTCCTAGAGCTGATTTCCAAAGAGCTTTCTTTTGGAGCCAGTTTATATAGTGAAACTCGAGCCCTGCTTAGCTATACCTTAACCAATTATTTTATTAACCAGTCATACCCCACCACCTTAATTAATTTACACCTAGCAAAATTAATTATGTAACAGACAGAAACAATTAAAGAACCAGACAGAGTCCATACAGACAAACAATATGGAAGTGAGGCCCATAATGACAAAACATTAAAGAAATGAGGATTTCACAACCACAGCTATTGATAAGGCTATCAAACTAAGTTTTC